TTGGCCATCAAACGTCCCATGACATTGTTTTTCAAAGAGTTAGAGGCGTCAGACCTAGAATTTTGGCCCAATTCCAGATTAAATCATTGGGTTTTGCCTCTTAAATTCTCTCCATGGCTTTCAGTGGTATTCTTGGTGATTTTTCCAGTCTTGCCTTTGAACTATTGGAAAAGTCTCTTCACTAGCCAGATGGTCACCCCTACTGGTTTCTAATAAGTACTAACGTTCAAGTCAGCAGGTCAGTGGGTTAGGGAAATTTCTACAAGGTTCCCTAACTGTAGAAATGGGGGTCTTTGGGCATCCTTATGTTTGAGTAACCTTTTGGAACTACTCAAAAAATTAGTGACTTGAAGCAACGACCACAGTTTTACTTCAAATTCGGCACTTAGGTGAGGGTTATGGAGATGAATGTCTCTGTTCTACTCAGCATCAGCTGGGTCAACTCTAAGTGAGGGGGACTGGGGTCATTTGATGTGTTGGTCACCTGCACATCTGAAAGATGACGCTGGTGTCATCCAGGACCTCTGTTGGGGCTATATCTAGCTTTTCCATTTGGCTGCAGACCTTTCTCCTAGCTTATCTGCTGGGTTGTAGGTATGAGTATACTGACAAGGCATCAAGTTGAAGCTGAATCAGTTTCCTAATTTAGACTTTGAGATTATATAATGTAACCTGAAATATTCTTTTCATTTAGAATAAGTTATTATCCCAATCCAAATTCAAAGAAATAGGAATTAGATGTTACTTTTTGGAAGGAAGTATATCAAAGAATTTTGGATATATTTTAAATCACTGCACTTATCTTTACACTTCTATTTAAAATGAGGAAAATGAGCATCAGAGAGTGGAGGATGCCAGATTGTCTGATTTGAATCTCCCTATTAAGTGTACTGAGGTTATATAAATGTACTTTTTTTTTTGTCTTTTTGAGACAGGGTCTCACTATGTAGTTCAGGCTGGCCTTGAGCTTGCTTTGTAGCCCAGGCTGGCCTCAAACTTGCAATGATCTTCCTGCCTCAGCCTCCTGAGTGCTGGGATTACAGGCATGCACCACCACACCTGGTACATAAGTGTACCATGATAAAGAGTGTGTCCTATTTTTTCTACATTAAGTGTTGGCAGTCAAGGTCTCTAGGAAAATTCCAATGCACTGATCTTGTATGTAACATTTTATTGAGACATAACCATATTATTTAATTTATGGCTGAATGTGATTTGGGAGGAGAAGCCTGGTTGGAGGAGGTGGGTCAGTGAATGAGCCATGGCCTGGAAACTTCTTCTTCCTGCTTCTCCCTCGATGTCTCTCTGCTTCTCACCATGTCATGAGCTGTTGTGCCTCTGCCAGGCTCCTCTTCTGTGCCTTGCTGCCTTGGAGCAAGCCCATGGGCTGAAACCTCTACAAACTGTGAACCAAACAAACTTCTCCTCCTTTAACTAGTGGGTGCTGCTTACCGTGTCTCAGTGACAAAAAAGTAACTAGAACATGGAAGACCTCTAGATTGCTAATCTTTCACTCTTTCAATCACCTTCACTGCTCCCTGAGGAGGGTATCTAAAACACAAATATCATGGCACCCTACATGCAAAAGTCATTTACTATCTCCTAAGATTGAATTGAGAATAAAATCGCAAATCAGCATAACATACAAGACCATTTATAATTTGAGTTCATAGACTTTGACTATTTTTTCCTGCTTCTTAGCACAGACTCCTCTTTCTATGGTGTGAAGAATTACCATTTCACTAGTTTTTTTTTTTTTTTTTTTTTGGTTTTTCTCCGGTACCGGGAACCGAACTCACGACCTTGCGCTTGCCAGGCAGGCGCTTTTGCCACTGAGC